ACACAATAAATGGCTTATGCCATTCTAGCTCATTTATTTTACCAATTAGCTTATAATATTAGATTCACATAAATCAACATAGGGTTTCTATCTCTCCTTATTTATTATAATAAGTAAAAATAATTAAAGGCTTAGCAAACCTGAAGGTTCAATGCCGACACCACCAGTCACATATTACACACCTCTCGCCACCATTGGCCGTCCAAACCCAGTCCATTCAGATCAAATTTAACGCAATCTTCCCACCTTCGCTTCGGTCTAATCCTTGTACGTTTACCATTCGGTTCAGCAAATATTAACCTTTTAGAAATGCTTTTGTTACTAAGCCCAACAATTTTACAAGCCTATTTGATTCTTCCCGATGAAATCACCTCAATTATATTAACCGGATACAGTTCACGCAATTCAGCGTTTTGTAATCGTCTCAACTCTTCCCTTAATTCATCCTTCTTCGGTCCGAATATTCAATACTTTATTTTCAAAAACCTCAAAATGTTTCTCATCCCTTCTCTCATATCTCATAGATTCTAATTTTTAAGTTCCGGGACAAGAGGCTCAAGCTAAGTAATTTTGGCACAGAAAAATAACAAGCATTTCCTGCCTTCAGCCTAATCTTAATCTCCTCTTCAATTTCGTTTTTTCTAGTTATCATAGATCATAGATACCTAAACTTCTCTACCTGTTCAAACATGTTACTGTCAATATCGATATCACCTGCAATATCGCAATTTTTGCAACTAACTTTATCTTATCCATGTTTATTTCTAGCCCTAGTTCTTTACTGGCTTTCATTAACGTTGTCGTATTTAGTTTTATAGTTTCCGTTTCTTCGCTTAACAGGACCAGATCATCCACATAGCCAAGCACGGGTGTTGTCTCACCCAGATTCAACCCTTTTTCGATACGCAATATCTACCTAATACCATGTTCTAATGCCAAATTGAACAGGACAGGTGAAAGGGGATCACCCTGTTTTAAACCCGAACGAACCTCAAACTTTTAAGAAACTCCTGTTTTTTTATTTTTGAGCAATTTTGTTGTTTCATTTTTTGAGTTTCGGAAATATTACATATTGCCTTCGCTAGGATTATTTAGATCTTTTAATTTAGCAGCTTTTCTTTTTTGCATATGTTTAAGCAATTTTCATCAAACCGTGGTTTGTTATTATATAATTCTTATTTTCCTTTTTTCCTAGACACAAGTTACTGACCACTTTAATGTTATTCTTGATCTCTACCCATAACTTGTCAATATCCTGGCGGTCCTCGTCAGAAGGTTTTAAGGCTTCAAACCAATTCTTAACATCTAGCTCGAATTGAGTTCTTATTTTATTCATCTTATTTTTTATTCGGATTTTTTAATTTTTCCAAATTAAAATTCTCAAAATCGAAACAGTTTTCTTTTCTCTCTTTTATATTAAGTTTTGTCTAAGTTTCCCGATTACTAATTCATGATCCGAACCAGATTCTGCTCTGCAATAAGACCGTACATTAATTATACTGCTTTGCCAGCTATGTTGTATCAAGAGATGATCGATTTGATTTTGTATTTGTGAATCCGGTGATGTCCAGGTATATTTATTAATATCCTTATGTTTAAATGTAGTACTTTTAATTATTAGGCTTTTTCGAGATGACAAAGTTCATCAGACGGATCCCATTATCATTACTATATTCTTGCAAACTTTCTTTACCAATCATTGGGACATAAACTTCTTCCCTCCCCACCTTTGCTTTTGTGTCACCTATAATTATTTTCATGGAGTTTCGCAGTAGTTTATCATAAAATTCTCATTTGATTTCATCGTCACTGTCTTCGGCCGAACAATGTATGTTCATTAACACGATTTTAAACCAACGTCCCTGAAATATAGCTACCGAAATTCTATCATTAAAGAATTGTACGTCTCTCAAAGCGAATAGCAATCTATACCTAATTAGAAAACCGGTACCTAAACAATGATTCCCTCTTCTTCCATACCAAATGGTATACTTTCCTTCCCTCATCGAGCCTTCCCCTGTCCAGCAAACCTCTTGCAGAGCCACAATATCTAAATCATACCCATTAACCTTATTCGCGACCGATTTTAACCCACCTGCTGAATTCAGTCCTTACGTTCTACGTACCAATACTTAAATCCCTATTTTTCAACTTATGTCATGAATCCCCTAAAGCAGTCACCACCCGGAGACCCGAACGGGGGACTAGTTTATCTTAGGGAGATCCATGACTATTTGTGGTGTATGGTGAACCAAAGATATGTGAGGTGTTCAATCCTACGTCACGCCCTCCAGCAAGTCTGGAGGTCCCCTCCCTCCAGCAAGTCTGGAAGTTCCCTCCCTCCAGCAAGTCTGGAAGTCCCCTCCCTCCAGCATGTCAGGACCCCTCTCACTGTTGGTCAGCGAGTCCATCAGACTTAGCTGGGAGGAACTTCCAAGGAGTTTCCACCGCCCATCCCCACATCTGCCATCCGTGGGATGCTCCCAATACGCGGTAATAAGCCTGTGCAAGGCTCCTTATTTATAGCCATTCTTACATCCATTTATCCTTATAAGGCAGGTTATTGAAGATATAAACATAAAAATTAGCTTAACATTTTCAAGTTTCAAAAATTTCATTCACTTCATTTACAATTTTTGTATGAACTTGATGTAAATGTTTGTTAAATAATTTTTTTATTTCAATTTCAGTCTCCTGGTTATGAATAGTAATGAAAAAGAGAAGTTTTTCATGGTTAGAAACGGTAGCAAGTATGGAAAGTTATTAAAGTCAAAGAAGTGGTTAAGGGAAATGGCATGTTCTGATAGTTTTGAAGCAAATGGGTTTGAGTATAAATGCTAAGATTAGGTACGTTTACTGTTTAATTAGGCTTTGGAATAACAGACTAAGGCTAATTTTACTTAGAATAAAGGCATTAATTTTTGTCATTCACATTCTAACCTTCTCTTAAAATGAGTATCCTATTTTGACCCTGGCTGCAGGACTTTAAATTGTAATGGAGAATGCTTATTTTATATAGTACACCCGCTGGGGTGAATTGAGTGAATATCTTAACATAGAAGTATAGTTTTTTATAATTATTATATGTATATATATTTTTTTTGACATAAATGGACCGTGACCACAAGGTTCTGTTGTGTGCTCTTTAAGAGCCATTTTCTTAAAACGCTAATTTTTTCGCATTTGCGTATTTAAGTAGGCTCATAGGGATAATCGACTCATAGCTCTTTGGGTCACTCACTATATACGGTCCTTACCAAACAGCTCGAGTCCAAGCCTTGCAAACCTATCGCACTGACACACAATGTGAAAGGCTATTTCATTCTCACTGTGACAGAATCTACTTAGTGGATTCCTAGTCAGTCTGAGATTGAACATATGATAATTTAACTTACAGTGACCAATGTAGATCTATGTGAGTTTTTAAAGCACTGCTTTATCCAAACCAAGTAGCAACTTACTAATTTTTTCGCAGGGCCATTCAAAGAACAACTTCAAATGTTGTTTCTTGCCAGACCAATACTGCTTGAAATTAGTAGCAGTACTTTAGGATTCTTCAGGTGCTGATTTGGTACTTGCTGAAAGCCTAAATTTAATAACATATATTCCACAGCAAGTCTGCATCCCGTGTGTTATGAGGCTTTAGAATCTGGGTTCTGTGACATTTTAGATGCCAAAATAACCTCTTTCCAGAGCCTTGAAATTGAAAACATTCCAGTCGTCTATACGCTTAATAGACTGGTTTTGTTCTGGAGCTGTTTTAGATAATATTCTTCAGATAGTGCCTTCCCAGGAAAAAAGGCTCCAATCCTGATGATTCTATTGAGTTCGCTAGCATTGCAGGCTCGAAGGGTTAAGCCGTCCTCAGTGGTGATACTAGGCATTATTTCTTTGAAGCATGTGACAGTGTGGTCGTCAAGGCACAATACGAGTCATCCACCCAGCCTGAACAGAGCACCATCAAACTTAAGGTGGATATTCTCTCCTATCTGCAGCTCGTCAATCTTTTCTGCAATGGCTTCTTCGAGTACCTTGCACTGGTTGTAGTTCAGCTAAATCTGCAGATAGTTGTTAGTAACCGCCGCTACTAGCTGTCCTCTTGCAGCCTTCGCATTTTTTCTTGGTGCTTCAGCCTCCTTCGGTTTCTTTACAATGGGTGCAGAGGTTCCCAGGTATGATCTGGAGCATTTTTCTGTTGTCAGTCCTTGCCTGGGTCACCATCTCTGTGTCTTGGATGCTGTCCCCCTAGACTTCACCCTTCCTTTCGCTGACTGTTATTTTGAAGCTTTCCCCTTGAACGCGGTAGCTTTGTTAGCCGAACCTGGAGGGTCCCTTGCATTCTCAGCTGCCTGCTGTTGAGTAGTCTCGTTTATACTAATTTTCTGCCCTAGCTCAGAGGCCCCCCTCTCGAGCGATCCAGCCTCGTCCGGGGGATCTTATTGGGCTCTTGCGTTCTCAGCTGAGCACTCTAAAAGTGGTCTCCTCCCTTCAGGTTTGTTAGACAGAAGTTGGTCTCTCGCCTTCCTTCTGTTTCGCCTTTTCACATTCTTGGAAGACCCAGATGTAGTAGCTCCTGAACCTAGCTTGGGTGCCTATCAGGACCATTGCAACAAGGATAGAAGCAATGGACTCCGCCTCTGTCCTCCGGGACTCGCATTGGGTCACATGGAGGAGACTCGTTGAGCACCATATAGAGGTGACAGTAGGCGTTGGTCTAGATAAGGAAATCTGAGAACTCACTTACAGTGGGTCAGGTACTATTGCTCGATTGTTCCACAAAAAGTTAGAGAGACTTCCGCACCCATCTCCCTCTCTAGACCTCTCATTGTCCTACCCATTTGCCCCCCTATTATATCTTACTGTGGACATATTTATCCTTGATCATTTCTTATAAACTTTTTGTAATATTTTTTATCATCACTTGTGAACTATTGATACATTATTAAAATTATATCATAATTTGCAGAGCTCCATTATTAAAATTATATCATTATTTACAGAGCTTCGAAATGGATGGCTAATAAGAACAACTTCAAAATCTTTTGCTGTTTATGCTGCAACATCTACAGAAAAACAAGAATGGATGGCACATATTAATAAGTGTATTGAAGATTTGCTGCGTAAAAGTAATAATGATATTTTATTATTTTTTTTAATGCATTTACTATAACATTTTTAGAGCATTTGCAAAATATTAAGATTAATGTCTGTTAACCGAAACATCAGCAAAAATTAAAATTATTATAGTTTATTTAATTTTACTTTTTGTACGGGAATCTTTCCCGACGTTGAGTAGGCGTTTGATAGAGTCTGGCACCCGGGACTGCTGTAGAAACTCCATAAATTCCTACCACCTATATACTCCCTCATTATTCGTTCCTACCTTACTAATAGATACTTCAAAGTAAATCACAACAATGCCTATTGATCCATCTTTTCCCATTCTGCTGGCATTCCTCGAAGTAGTATCCTAGTTCCTATCCTTTACACAGTCGATACAACTGACATCCCAACTCATCCAATCACTGTTATTACAACCTATGCCGATGACAAATATGTCCTATCAGTTAATAATGACCCATCCATTGCATCCCAAACTCTTCAATCCCACATCACAAACCTTGAAGAATGGTATCAAAACTGGAGAATTAAAATAAATTCCAATAAATCCCATCAAATTACCTTTACCCTTTGTCGTAAACCTATGGCTTCTTGTCCTACAGTTACTTTAACAATACCCCACTTATCCCTGTTGAACAAATCTGATATCCAGTACTCCATCTGGGCAAACGTCCAACTTGGAATCCTCATACCAGAACTGAAAAGACAAGAAACTCGACGTTTCCGACCACTTCAGCACTTACTAGACAAACGCTTTAAGCTTTCAATTAATTACAAAAGACTCATATACATGACTATAATAAGACCTATTTGGACTTACGAAGTTGACCTTTGTGGCTCCACTAAACCATCGAATTCCTCTCATATCCAATCTTTACAATCCAAAATTCTTAATGCTTCTTATTTTGTAACAAATAAAATAATCCATTATGACCTGAATGTTCCATATTTTTCAAATTTGGCTCACAGTTGTAAATTTCATAAACAATAATAATAAAAAAAATTACTTTTTTCTGTTTGACTGAACACCCCCAACCAACTTCTCATCAATATATCTATGACAGTCAATTATATGTCCACTATTATTAATGTTACTGTTGCTTCATTTTTATCAAAACAGCCGCAAGAAATAATGTGTTAGTTTTAACAGAGTATTAATGAATCTTGGTATGAAAATATATAATTGCATGATTCCTAAATTTAATGTTATATTTTTTTACTAGGTGGGAAAAAAGCAGCAGAAGTATATGCTGCTGTTTGGGTTCCAGATTCAGAAGCTCAAATCTGTATGCATTGCAAGAAAAATCAGTTTACAGTTTTAAATAGACGGGTATGCTTCATATTATCTTAGTTGTATTTATTTATCTGGATTTAACTCAGTTGTAGATAAGTTGTTATAGAATACAACTTTCTTTTCCTTGACTCCTTTTCTATTGATTCCATTAAGTTAATGATTAATGAATTATTATTAGAAGATGTTGAATGCAGTAGTCCTTCCTTTATCCCTTAGCAGGGAGGTAACAGACCTAATGCAAAAAAGATCAGGAGGAGGGGTGTTAAAAATAATGGTCAAATTAAGGTAAAGATAAAATAAAGAAGTAATAAAAAAAAAATTAAATATAAAATAAAATTTTATATCTACTTGACTTAAATGGAGTCCCTAATTATTAATATTTATAGTTAATGGGTGGGTTAGTTTTTAATGATTGCCATGTATTTGAGGTGCTCTGTTCGGTAAATTTTGCTAACTACTTCATCCTGCATATCTTACCGCTTCCTTGTCATCTTTCTCTTCCACTGCCTACCAACATATCTCCTGGCTCTCCCTTGCCACTTCTCTTGTAGGGGGTGTCTATCTGCTCATTTTGTAAATATGAGAGACAGAAAAAGAACAGATCAGGGCTTGCACTTTTAATACCCAGATAAGAATTCACCAGAATCTGCAGGAATTCTTTAGTTCAAATTTCCGCCAATAGATTGCGCTACTGTTCCACAGCATTTTAAATGTAAACGTTAAATAAAATAATGAATGATTGTGGTCTTAACAGAAGATATTGAATTTAATTAACAGGCAATGGTTTCTGTGGTTATTAGTGGTTCTTACATTGACAGTTCCAGTACTTTTTACGACTATACATTGATTTTTATAATAATAATTTGTGTTATTTTTTTAGTCCTTGTTAGAAATTCAGAAATTTCTTAGGAAACTGTAACATTTCCTCTTCTATTGATTTATAAGTTTTATAAACGGTTTTGTACAATACTGAGTGGCCGGTACTTGCCATATGAGCAGGAGTCCTTTTCTTGAATAAAATAACTTCTTTAAGATGTTTTATGAGGAAATATTAAATAATTTTAAGCGATTTATGCTATTAGTTGTTATTTTATTTAATTAAACAGTTATCCCTGATAAGTCAATAATTGTTAGTGAATTAGTAATTGAAAATAAGCAAATATATGAAGTATAAAAGGGGACTGGTCTCATGCTGTGAATAATAATATCTTATCGCTTTATATGTGTCTTAACTGGCCACTTGCTCAAGTGCTGCTCTCTTTAAATTTAGTGGTGCCACCTCCTTCTTTATAGCCTTAAGGTTTATAGTAAAAAATAAGTATGGTCTCTGGGCCTGGGATCAGAATGCCTTGCTCCCTGGTTGGGTGTCTGTAGGTGAGTGAGTGGAGGATGCTTACTGGTTACCTAGGGTTAATCCATAGAGGTGATTTCGCATCTGTCAATGAGGGGGTTAAGTGAATTGATGCTAGAGACCCCAGTATAATAATAGACTAAAATATAACATTAAAAATACAGTAAATTATCATAATTAAACCATCATAGGAATTGATGTTTTTATCAGTAACATTTCTTACTAAAATTTACGTTTAAAATAAACTTACTGATTTCTTAAATTATTTTTATGAAAACGTAAATATTAATAATGATACTTTATTTATTCTGGGATTATATTAGGGCTACATACCACAGGAATTGATGTGTATTTATAAGTGACAAACTTAATGTTTCTAGCCCTACTAAATATGAAATTATATAGACTTAAAACTTATTAAACGGGGAAGTTTTTCTAAAAGTGGAGTAAAGGTAGTACAGTTAAGAGTGAGTAAAGAGTGATTTAAAAAAAAAATTACAAATTGTTTGACGTTTTTTTAACGGAACTTAGATGTGTTTATCCGCCCGCCCAATAGTCCTCTTTAAATAGTTTTAAAAATGTCAAACTATACTTTCATTTAAAGCAAATTTTGTCTAGTTTAGTTACTTAAATCAAATATTTTTTAAGTTCTTGTTTCCCACTCAACAAAAAAAGTGACTTGCTTGAAAAAACACAAATCTTAAATTTTCTACTCTTCTGCTAGAAACTAGGCAATTGTTTATAGGCACTTTTTTGTAGATCTTGATGTCTACTATTAACCTTTTAAATATTTCCCTCTACTTACAGGACTCCCTTTATATGAAATAGGGTGTATACAAAAAAAAAAAAATGACCTCTTTTCAAACAAATATTTGTATTACTATTTCTTTTATATAAAATACAATTATTACTCAAAGGATAGTATAGTCCTTTGTTATCTACCGTCACTTGCCATCTGCTAGCCAATTGCTTGATCCCACGCTAATACCGTTCTTTATGATGGCTGTCAAAGAACTCTTGGACCACAATTTCAACTTCTGAAAAATTATCAGATTTTTTTCCTTGAAGAAAATGGGCCATAGATCTAAATAAGTAGTAATCCAATGGTACGAGGTCTGGACTATATGGTGGATGAGGCAGGGGTTTTTCAGAAAAGGGTTTTTCAATAAATTTTCACAAATTTCTAATCTCTTAGCTGATTGCTGAGGAGTAAGTTCGTGAGGGAGCAGTCTACTGCTCTTTTTCACCTTCTTCATGGAGAGTAGGTGGCGACTAACAGTATCTTTCGATACACCACAATCCCTGGCAAGTTCACGAGTACTTGTGGACGAATTTGACTCAACAGCTTCCTGCAAAACCTCATCAATATCCATTAATGGTCGCCTGGAGCCCTTCTTCCTTTCCAACGCTGTATCTCCACTGCTAAATTTTTCAAACCAATGCCACACAGTGTGCTGGTCAAGGACACCTTCCCCTTCATATTTAGTAATTTCATGAGTTGCTTCAGCGGCTGTGAAATTTTTTTTCCAGTTATACCTTAAAATTAAAAGAATTTCGTAGGACAGGAATTTGATAAAATTCATATATACTTGATTTTCTGTTTACCAATTCCTAACTTTCCTCCAAATTTGAGCCAAATTGAACAGGCAGTTTTATAGTTATAGTATCTATCAAATTAGCCTGTACAGTATGTACAAATATATTTCATGCTAAATGCATCAAAATTGATAGTGACACGGAAGGCCTAAAAGAAATTAACAAAAAATGGATATGCCCCGATTGCGCCTCTGAGCCTACAATGATTGACCTATTGAAGGCCCTGACCGAGGAAGTTAAGCAGATGAAGACCAAGCTTCAGGGCATCGACGAGTTAAAGGAAATAAAAGACTGCCTCAACAAACAGTCGGAACTGTCTTGAAAATATGGAAAAGCTGTTAAAGATAGAAACCCTGCTGGAAGAACAGAAAAAACACGTTGAAAAATTGTCTATCGAAAACACCACCTAAAAGAAAAAAATATCGGAGCTGGAAATTCGGTTAAATTATACTGAGCAATATCAGTTAAAAAATACAGTCGAAATCCGAGGAATTCCAGAAAAGCCGGGTGAGACTGTGACTGGGACCATCCTTAGCGTCGGAGCGGGTCTGGGCATCAAGTTAAGTCCAGACGATCTGGATCACGCAGTGAGGCTCAAACCAAAGTAGGAAATTATATTTGGTTGTACATATGTAAGAAAATTATATTTGAATATTAGATAATATTGAGACATGGTTAATAAGTAAAATTAATACAAAGTGGAAAAAGAATGATCATACATTGATATAGAGTGTAAATATAAATTTAGAATAAAATAAAAGAGAGATCATACAAAGAGGAAATAGTGAGAATAATGAACAATTAAATGAATTGATCAATAAAAATTGAGAGTAGATAAAAATATAAATAATAGAATATAATATATAAGTTATTTTTCACTTATAAGATTTAAAATGTGTCTATATGTTAATGAAATACAGTTTTTATCTACTTTATGATTAACAGGATTCTGTTCCATGTGAATGTGGATAGATTCGGAAATGAGTCTTTTTTCATGGTTGGGGACCTAGGCAAGGATAGAGGTTTTTTCAAAATCAAATGAGTGGTTGAAGGTTAAGGCATGTTCTGATAGTTTGGAGGCGGAAGGATTGCGGGAAGTTATGGATGTTTTATGTTGGGAAGTGCGAGTTTTGAGATGGTTTTTGGTTTAACCAATATAGGAGCTAAAAGTAAAATAATAACTAAATAATAATCAAACAACTATGTAAAATAAAAAATAAAATAATCTAAAGATAAGTAAACTAAAAACATGAAAGGGGAGCGGGGTAGCTCAGTGGTAGGGCACTGAGCTTCCAATACAAAGGTCCCGAGTTCGAACCCCGGCTCATGGCAGAAAATTTATTTATCTGTTTCATTGACTGTGAGGCGACCTTGGGTCAGGAGCCCCTCCTGGGGCACACCCAGTCTCTATAAAGTTGGTACCCTTAATTAAGTAATTAATTAAGGGGGAAAACCTGGCGGTTGAGCGTGAACTCGGTCAAATCACCTCCTTGCACAACCGTTGACCTAGAAACAGTGGTTTCCCTAAATAGTACTGAACCCCAGACCCTCGATGGGTTGTAGTGGTACAGGTTTTTTTTTTTTTTTTTTTTTTTTTTTAAACATAAAAACTCAGTCATACCTATATACAATATATATACAATCAGGTAGGGAACCCCAAGACAGGCTTGTCCCTCCAACTATAGAGGGAAAAGCAGGACTCCAAGAGATCCCTGCGCCACTCTCTCAACCGCATCACTGGTGCTGAAGCCAGTGGAGATTAAGCGAGAGTGCTCTAGCCACATACACTCGTGTCTTGAGTGGAGAATCTGGCCATTGTTAGAATTCCAAGATACATACTACAAAAGATCTCTGGACCACTGCCGCTTCAACCATCAAGGAGGATTGTAGGGAAGTGGAACTAGATAGGGATTGTGCAAGCGGGTTCGGATAATTTATAATGTACTGATGGAATTTGGAAAAATTTTGAGGGATAAGGTCTAGGACAAATGGAATATTAAGGTCATGATGTAGGATTTCGTTGGTTACATAGAACGGAGCATCAACTATTGTTCGGATGACTTTGGATTGAAAGGATTGGATGCGTTTGATGTTAGAAAATTTAGCTGTCCCCTAAAGTTCAAGTCCGTTGGTCCAAATAGGTTTCAGGATTGTCTTGTATATCAGTAATTTATTGTCAATTGAAAGTTGAGATTTTCTAGGCAATAGTCTGTATAATTGGCCGTATCGTCTTATAAGTTCTTGTCTTTTACGTCTAGTATGTGGGTTCCATGTTAGTCTTTGGTCTAAGAGAAAGCCAAGAATACCGAACTGTGTCTGAAAAAGGAAGCTGGATGGAATTGAAGTGGACTGGTGGACAGGATCTATGCCGGTGCGTGAAGGTAATGTGTTTGCATTTGGATTCGTTTACTTTGATGCATCATTTATTACACCAGTGCTCAATCAGGGAGAGGTGTCTTTGCAGATTTAAAGATGCTATTTCGAGATCTGAGTTGTATGATAGGATGGCAGTGTCATCAGCAAATGTTGCCAGAAAGGTATCGGGATGGACAGAGATATCAGCGGTTAAAAGGATATAAAGGACAGGGCCCAAGATGCTACCTTGAGGAACTCCGTCTCCAACTGGGTAGGAATACCCTCAGGAAATTAAATAGCATTTTTTAATCATTTGAGCTGATAAATTTATTCTTATGTTTTGTTTTTGAACATTTTATTATATTTTTCTGAATTTATTTTATCAAAATGGCGGCAGGTGGAGGAAAAAGTTGAGATCTTTGATTGATGGAACTTTTCTCACACTAACTCAATTCACAAATTTTTAACTCTATAAATTAATTATGAGGGGGTATGCACAACCACCTCCCAAAAGGCACTTCTTAAGCTCCAGCTCAGTGTCAATACAAACTTCATTTGATGGAAAGGGATTCCTTCAAAAAGAATAATAATAAATATATACATCAGACGTTTCCAGAATTCCCACAATTATATCTTAGAGGTTCTAAAAAGGATATTAAATGCACTCCTGACTCCCTCCTCCCCTGACGATCTTTGATAAAGTGCAAGAGTCCATTATTTTTGGGAATATTAAGACTTGGACTTTTAAAATAGTAAAAAAAAAATTGATTGTAGATTTATCATCCTTCGCTGTATATGGATCACATACACAAGTATTTGATGCAGAGCAGTAATCAAATATGCTTTGCATAAAACAAAATAAAAAGTATATCATGAGTATAGGTTGTTACAAGAGTTTGCATCACACTAAGCAGCTGTATTCATTGGCTTAGTTTGTAATAATTCAATTTGTAACACTGAATAGCATTTTTTTTTTTAATGTGATAATATGAAAAAAACACGGGAAATGTACAGGAATTTTTCGGAAGGGAAGTGCTGGACACCCTGTCAAATCAATTACCGCATTCCTTAAGTCCTACAAGGTTGTCGTCTGCACTTTCATCCATGTAAGAATGTTCGTTTGAGCTTCTACCAACTTGTTTATTGGTAGTGGTGGGATTTCCCTGTCCTCTGGCAGATTTAATACCGCTGGGCCGCTGTATTAGATCTGTTATCTCTTATTGTCTAGTTCTCTCAGCTTAAACTAAAAACAAAATGGTCTCCTGATACTCAGCTTCTGGCTTCGGCACCGGTTAAAGATTGGCTATTTCAATAAATAAAAAAAAAGATGGAAAGGGACATGAAATGTCTCTCACATAGTCTAAATTAGAACTGATTTTATTCTTCTGCTAATCCTGTATGTATACATTTGTATTTTTATTTACATAAGAGAAATGCTATTAAATTTAATAACGCTCTCTCTGAGCCTTAACTATATATATATATATATATATATATATATATATATATATATATATATATATATAAACTTTTGTTTTTGCATAAAATAAGTTTATTTTAATTGTAACTTTTTTTTTTAGCACCATTGTAGAAATTGCGGTGAAGTAGTGTGTGGACCTTGCTCAAATAAGAAATTTTTACTTCCTAATCAGTCCTCCAAACCTGTGAGAGTTTGCCTAAATTGTTTTGACACATTATCTAAAGCAAAACTGCAGAATAATTTTCAGACTAGTTTGACTACTAGGCCTGGTAAGTGAACATCTATATTGGTTTAATGATTGTTATTCTTAAGGCTTCATTATAGCCCATTTCTGATGCATTGCATTAATTTTGTTACAATACGATTCTGCATTGATGGTTTCTCTAGGATTTAAGAAGCTGTAGATTATCAAACCAAATGAAGCCTACCAAACAGTAACCATAATTTTTTTTTATGAGTTGAGGGCTTTGGAAAATGTTCTGCTGCTTCCCTTTTGTCGAGCCACTGTCCAGAATGTCTACTGTTATCGTAAAGTATCCACTTTTCATCATAAGTATCAATTCTGGACAGAAAAGGGTAGTTTTTGTTTCGGCAACGAAGTGTAGCACAAACTTCATAAAGCTGGTTTTTTTTGTGATCATTTAATGTGTGTCGAACCCAACTTTCAAGCTTTTTTACCTTTCTAATCACCTTGAGGTGGTCATCGATGGTCGATTTGCTAAGGTTAAGTTTCACTGCAAGTTCTCAACTGTTCTGTGTTTTCTAGGCTGAAGTCTCCCTCCCAACATTTTTTGGACCGCACTCCATAGAAGTTCTTGTCTCGACATCAGAACAATAGCCCTGACGATTACCCCCATGTTTGAGTCGAAACTCCTGCTATCCCAAATAATATTGTTGTGATTGAAATTCTTCATAAATTGAAATATATAAATATTATAGAGGGAGAGGGAGAGAGGGAGAGCAACCTGGTCAAAAATAAATAAAGAAAAAGCATTGATTTAAATGTTAAAACATAAACAGGAGGCTAAAATTATAAAAACTAACATTAACCATTCTCAATATATATACAGTAGTTAAATATTGAGAATGGTTAATGTTAGTTTTTATAATTTTAGCCTCCTGTTTATGTTTTAACATTTAAATCAATGCTTTTTCTTTATTTATTTTTGACCAGGTTGCTCCCCCTCTCTAATTGTTGTAAATAAATTTTAGTATGTTCAATATTCACCAGCTCCGAATTAAGTTCTTGCTCCAACTTATCAGCTAATTTTGTGAAAGCAATTTGAATAGGTTTCCTTTTCTTCTTTAATTGATCCATAATTATTAACTATAGAAAAGCATCACAAATAATTAATTATTTAAACAAAACAACTAAAGGCAGGCAATGTGGCCATGATGATTTCCATAATATTCATAGAAAATTCTTTGATAAGAAACTGTATGGAAGATAATTGAGATGCCACACCAAATTAAGATATCTAATGGTGTAAAAGAAGATTTGAGGAACCTTCTTGAAGATTTGAATCTGGAGGACAGCTGAAATTGATTGTATAAACTGGAGAGGCCATGACCCTGGAATTGCTTGTCGTGGTGATTGATGATTATGATAATGAAGAATAAATAGCATGAACAGCCTCTAATGAAAGATGTGTACTGCCATGTCACTTTCCCAAATGTAGGTCAGTACTAAAATAATTAAAGAAAGTGAGCCCACGTCCTCTACTTCTATACATAGTTTCATCAGCTGTCTAACCTAAGTTCATTCAGAATTAACTGAGAGTGATGCATCTATCATGACTTATCTGATATTAACTTAATAAAGAATTTAATAATATACATTTTAAAGTATATAAGTAAAGGAAAAATAAATTTACAGTATATGTACCTATATTATATTGGCATGTTATGTTGACCACAAAACATGCTCATGTTCTTACTATGAGCACACACATGTGCAAATAACACAAATTTAAAGGAAGGAGATGGTCCGGGGTTGCGGTCATAAAAAGGCTAAATAGTGGTAAAACTATTTTATTGAAACTATTTTATACTATTTTCAATAAAATAGTTTTACCACTATTTAGCCTTTTTATGACCGCAACCCCGGACCATCTCCTTCCTTTATAATGCAACGGTCAACTATTAAATATTCAATATAACACAAATTTAAATATTTACAATAATAATTTTTAACTGAGTTTTTATCAATAATTTGATTTTATTTTATTTTAGACAGCAAAGATCGGACTGGTTCAGCAGATTCTTCTTGGGAGGAAGATTCTGATGAAGATGAAGATAATTTAAATCGTGCTTATCAAGAAGCAGATAAGGTCAGTGAATGAATTATCTGCCTGTATCTTCCTATGTTCATAAAAGTTCTTAATGTGGTTTAGTGTTCTTTTTTAAGGACATAGATAAAAAAATACTATCTTCCAATATTATTATTTATTTAGTTTCTATTGAAGATGGTATCTATGGTAATTTGAAGTAAATAGAGTGATATTTAAAACTGGAGTCACTACAGTTCAGTTTTCTGGAAATGAAAGTTGCTAACTCTCAAAAATGTATTTAGTTTTACTTTGTTTGACTGAACTCCCAACCAACTTTTCTTCAATGTATCTACAAAAGTCTACTATTAATCCACTATTTAGTTTCTAATTTAACATTGTTGCCATTTTTTTAATGTGGCCCCATCATCAGAACATATTTCTAAAATTTAAACCATAAAATGTTCCAATAATACATTATAGCATTTTTTATATATAAACAAATGCTATCTACTATCTTAAATTTAATGCATATATTTAATTAATTAAGGTAAGTCAGGTGAGTTCATATTTGAGGCAAGTGCATACATGAATTTTTATATCAAATGTGTTAAAGTGTAAAATTTAGAATTATCTGGTCAAATGATATCGGTTCAAATCTGGCCTGGGCAGGTAAAAATTTATTTTGTTGTGGACCCACAGAATGAATGTTGACCTTTCCACTCAGATTAGAATAGGTTTGGTTGAACCTCTAAAACACCCCCTCCCCTCCCAAATGCTAGAAATGGGGTGTTAAGGGTATTCCAAAAAAAAAAAAATTAAATAATATAAAAACAAAAGTTAAGTTTCATTTAATCCTGTTTTATCCATGGAATCTTTAACGTTTTTGCTCTTGTTTGCTAAGTAGATATTATAGACATTACTATTTTAAAATAATTGAATTATTTTATCCTAATAATGTTTTTGATGCTGGTATGTACTGGCCCCAAAGAAACATAAGCTGGGGTAAGTGCATATCAAGTCTATTGGTCAAATGCATACTACTGTGCACCAGTGTTGGACGTTATTCGAATAACTTATCTGAAATTTTATCTAGATAACGGATAATAGATAATTTTTATTTGTTATTCTTATTCGACGACCTTTGGACAGATAATTATTTGTTATTTACAAATAATATGCATTATTTAGTATCTATTATTTGTTATTTAAGATAAAAATACGATTCGAATAATTTTGTTTTGTAATTTTAAGGATTTCTTCGATATTTAGGTCTGTTTATATGTTTTTTGGGAACTGTTTATATGTTTTCGAAAATGGTCTCCAGCATTTAGATATAGCGCCCCCGGGCATTGACTTTTTGTAAATTTTCAGATTAAATCAATATGAGGGCCTACTATTATATTTTGGGAATCACTTTTTATGGAAATACTTTCGGATTTGAGATTGCACCCCTGGGCATCGACTTTTTGTAACTTTTCGGAATATATCGATATGAGGGTCTACTATTATATTTTGGGGGGCACTTTTTATGAAAATACTGTCGGATTTGGGATTGTGCCTCCTTGGACATCGACTTTTTGTAACTTTTCGGATTTAATCGATATGAGGGTCGACTATTATGTTTTGGATGTTGTGTTTTATGAAAATACTGGGTGATTGAAGGTTAGAGATAGGCAAAAAGTACTATTTTATTCAGAATTATTTTACTTTTCTTTTAAAAGTAATTTAATCCATCATTTAACTAATTACAGGTGTAGAATATTTTATATTTCAATTTATCTCAAATCCGACTGTATTTTCATAAAAAGCACCCCCCAAAACAATAGTCAACCCTTATATCGATTTAATCTAAAAAAATAAAAAAAGTCGATGCCCGGCGGTGCTATCTCAAATCCAACAGTATTTTCATAAAAAGTGCCCTCCAAAACATAACAGTCGACCCTTATATCGAGTTAATATGAAAAGTTACAAAAAGTTTATGCCTGGGGGTCTATCTTAAATCCGACACTATTTTCATAAAAAGTGCCCTCCAAAACATAATAGTCGACCCTTATATCGATTTAATATGAAAAGTTACAAAGAGTCAATGCCTGGGGGCGCTATCTCAAATCCGACAGTATTTTCATAAAAAGTGTCCCCCAAAACCTAATAGTTAACCCTAATATCGATTTAATCTGAAAAGTTAAAAAAAGGTGATGCCCGGCGGCGCTATCTCAAATCCAAGAGTATTTTCATAAAAAATGCCCTCCAAAACATAATAGTCGACCCTTATATCGATTTAAAATGTAAAGTTACAACAAGTCAATGCCTGGGGGTGCTATCTCAAATCCGACAGTATTTTCATAAAAAGCGCCCCATAAAACATAATAGTCAACCCTAATATTAATTAAATCCGAAAAGTTACAAAATATATAAATAAACCCTGATATGGAACAAATCCGAAAAACTCAAACAGTCGCAATGCACTGGCATGGTCTCGAAATCTTAAACATTTTCAAAAAGTACAGCTCTGAAAACATATAAATCAATCCTTTTATCGAAGTAATAAAAAAACTCAAAAAAGTCACAAGGCACTGGTGTAATCTTAAAATGTAGATCATTTTCAAAAACTATAGATCTTAAAATATACAAATTAGCCCTTACATAGAAGATGAATAAAATTAGCATCAAATTATTCGAAATTTATTTGAAAAACTTGAATAACAAATAAAAAGATAATAGATAACTTGAATTTATTTATTATCTAGATAAAAGATAAACAGAATTAATCTTTATTTGTAGTTGAAAGTTTGAATAAAGTATTCGTTATCTTATATAAATTATTATTTGTCTTTTATTTAAGATAAATTTTGTCCATCGCCGCTGTACACTAGCTATTTGGTAGCTAGAACATACTAGTATGTACTTACCCATCTCTTAAAAATATTTTAGAGAGAGTTGATATTATTGTGAATATTTGGTTATATTATACAGTTGATGTATACATTACCTTCACACTTTGTCATAATTCCAGTCCACTAGTTAATTTTAATTCTATCCAGCCTCCTTTCTGAGACACAGTCCGGTATCTTGACTTTCTCTTAGACAGATGACTAATGTGGAACCCATATACTAGACTTAGAAGGTAAGAACTTAACCGATGATATGGCTTCTTATATAGTCTACTAAATAGAAACTAAACTTTCTATTGAAAACAAATTACTGATAGACAAGAAAATCCTGAAACCTATCTGGACCTATGGACTAGAACTGTCAGTGACAACTGAATTTTCTAACATCTGTAGTAGACATCCCCTGGTATTTACTCCTTTATGTGACATTGTGTGAGGGAATGAGAAGGAATATATAATGTGATATAGGAATGTGAGTTGCACGATGAATTGTACTCAATTATGCAGTGGACAAATTATTCATGGAAATGTCTCATATCGATAAACAATCGATAAAGAAGGACGCTGGAAAAAGGTCAGAGCATGTAGCTAGCAACAGCTGGCAGAAGGACTCCGAGAAGACCTTGAGGCCTGGACACGAAGATGAGAAGACGTCATCTGGGAAGAGAGGCTTACTACATTGAAGACTAAGAATATCAAGCCTACAGTTATAAAACTTTTATACATTCGTTTATTACAGTTGTAAAATAAATTGTTTTATTATACAGGTGTGAAAAGTCATTTTATTTAGTTGTCCTATATGCCTCACAACTGAAGAATAACAAACCAGGTGAGTCAATTCATTCAAAGTGTGTTTACGAAGTCCCACATTTCATATATGTATTCTTATTGTTTCTCCTCACTTAGTGTCACAAAAGGTATTAGATTCCCGAATTCCCAACAACTGTTAAACACCCTCAAAAAGTCAATATCCAGTGCCGGGGTTTTGTTTTAATATTCACGAGTGTAAATAACTTAGTTCCCTGATATAAAGCGGAAGACTTTTCACTATTCCCGCCAAAACAAATTATTTACAATAAACTTTATTAGGTTATTTACACATCAACATCAACAATCATGAAGATTCCTGGTTCAAGACTGGTTCCATTTTCATTTTTTTTCTTTTTCTTTTATAAAAATGCAATTTTAAATTTACTTATGTATATATATTAGTTCCCTCTGTAGTATTATTTTAATTATAATTAATTTAACAATTAAATTAAATTCATTTTCATTAAATTATAATTCATCCCTAGCATTTGTAAATTTAATTTCAAATTCTAAGGTTTCTTTTTTATGTTTAATGCTTTAAGATAATTTTGTTTCTTTCATTATTTTATTACTATTATTTTATATTAAGAGAAACATTTTTAATTTGTTCATTTTTTTTAATGGAATGTTTATTTATTTATTATTTCACTCAATATACACAATTACTGCTATTCAGCATTTTATTTATATACATATTTATCCTCAAGGATTTATTATTTTAATATTTTTAAAATTAATTAATTAACAAGGCACCAGTGGCCAATGGATAAGGTTTAGAATTGGCTGTTCACATTTGAACGCCCATTGCCGCCACAGCCTAAGTAACCATATTGCACTCCCACATCTTTTCATCAACCTATCTGAGTGCAAAGATCTGCTCAATGGTTGATCTGTTTCTTCGAAAATCACACTGGTTTTCTCCAACTGCCCTTTCATAATATGGTACAAGTCGATCGTATAGTAATGCCCCAAAAAAATTGATATGCAACATTAAGCAGTGTAATACCTCTGTAGGTCCACATTGTAATCACCTTTCTTGGGTTCTACTGTGATTATTCCACAACTCCATTTTTTCGGCATGCTTTCTTCCTCCCATATTCTATCTATTAGTCTGTGTAGCTCTCTCAGTATGTTAGGGCCCATATGTTTGAAGAGTTCGGCATTTATATTGTTCATGCCTGATGATTTGTTTCTCTTCAGTTAACCTACCACTTCTTCCAATTCTTCCAGTGTTGTATTTCTTCTTCCCATCCACATTCTGTTTCACTATGTGCGATCATTGCTGTTCGCTAGCTGTGATCGCCTTACACAAAGTTGGAAAATGCAGATCAGAGGTTTTCTACACTTTGAAACCTTTGGGTATCAGCCTTATGTTTGTGTACCACACTATGAATAGATATAATGAGAGCTTATCTGTATGAGACAGACCTTGACTGGGCTGTTCCAGCACTTTCCACTACACCAATGGTCTTCATCGAAAAATTTTGTTTAGCGATGAGATAATTTTTACAATTGAGAAAAAATTTAATCGCCAAAATGATCGTGGTATGCACACAGCTCTAAAGAAGTCCATGAAGTCATTGGAAGAGTGAAAAGAGGTCATCAACCTTCCTTGACGATGCTGCTCCAGCTCACAAGGCCAGGCCAACTCAGTAGTAGCTTTAAAAAACATTCCTTCATCTCTGCCTAGGATTGGCTCTCAGGAAGCCCTGATCTCAACCCACTAGATTATCGGCTTTGGTCTGAACTGGATAGCATGTCATGCCACAAAGCACACCCTAACTTGGAAATCCTCAAACAATATCTAGTCCGAGCAGTTGAGCACTTTACTTCATGATTTCCAAATTTAGCCAATCATTCCAACCTTCTGAGGTGCCTGACGCTACCTGAAAGCTACAAGAGGATATTGACTGCATCAACAGATAGTCAGAAGTAAATGAGTTAAAGTTAAATACAGATAAAATTAATTCTATTCTCATCGGGTCCAGATATCTCATTTGTTCACTTCCTACTTTCCTCTACTTTATCTCAATGACTCCCATCTATTTTTTTCCTACTGTCAAAAACCAAGGAGTAATCTTTGACCAGAATCTCTCCTGAAATAACCATATCTCCCGGATTACCCGAAAATCCATATAACTAACCTTAAACACACCTAAGACTCCATGATTGTATTCCTCTAAAAACCAGACAGCTACTTGCAATCCCTCTTATATTCCTCAACTTTGACTATGGCTGCTTGGTGTTTGTAGGGCTATCTGCCATGAAATAAATGAGGATGAAGAAACTCATGAACTGTTTCATAAGATACATCTTTGGGATCCCCCAGGTGTTCTCATGTTTCACCGAGCTGAAGTGGCTTTATCCTACTTCCTGACGACAATTTCTCCTTGGTATTTTTATTTTCCAAGTCCTCAGAACCAAAATCCTCCCTACATCCTGAAAATTCTTGCTCTACATTTCTTTATCCACTCTCTTAATACCAGGTCTCAACCTATAGATTTATGTATTCCTTCCCATAAAACTGCTTTCTTCAGCGAATTCTATATCATTCGTGCTACCTCCTTTTGGAACTCTTTGCCTAACTCTATACATCAATCCTCATCCACAAATTCCTACAAACAACTCCTGTTCCACCAACTACTCCATATTCAAACTTCCGCAAACATGTAAAATTTACTTGCGTCTATACTGTTTAATTTAATCAACTGCACAATTGCAATAACAATCAACAGTTCATTATGTATCATTTTTTATTCTTCTAAGCCAGACTAAGAATCATAAATATGTAACTCTGTTATTATTCTTAGGGTACTGTAGTCCCAGACTAAATTATTTTTTTCATTTCAACCATCAATGTCATTTTTATTTTTATCCTACCTCCAAACTATTTATGATTTTTGTTGCTAGTTCTTGGTATGAAATTAAACTAAATTTAAATAAAAATAAAGGATTTTTTTTTCACTAAGTGACCCCATCTCGTAGTATTTAATATGGGCATATTATATTTAAAATATATATTTGTTTATTTTATCTTTTCAGTCTAAATTTTATGGATCTACGAATGCTGGTGTTATTGAGGATGCTGATGTTACTGAGGAAACCACAATTTCAATTGATCAAAAAAAAATAGGTACGAAATAAATTTACTTGCAATTTTTAAAGCCTTACATTTATAATTGTGTATTAGGTCTCTTATGTTATTAAAATTCAAAATTTTATTTTACTTTTTATTTTATTTATTATTATTATTATTATTATTATAGTTTTAAATTTCTGAATCTTTTAGTTTCAATGTGAAATGTCTTTCAAATTATAATTGTTATGGTAAT